TTTTTTTTTTTTTTTTGAAAAACCCCTTTGTTATAGTTAGGGTTCTATTGCTGTGAATAGACACCACAACCAGGACAACTCTTCTGAAGGAAACATTCACTTGGGGCTGGTATTGGCAGAAGTATTAAGGCAACTCCATGTAGTTAAAAGGGAGGGTTACTTTGTGGGGTAAGTTACAAGTGAAGGGATAGGTTACAGGGCTCGGGAGAGATGAAGTGCAGTCCAGCAGTGTTCTCTAGAGAACTCTGCTCAGTCTACCTCCAGTATCCAGGGTCCAGGAACCGAGAGAGTCGGCACATCCGGATCTCAGGTCTTAAGGGCTCCTGTCTTGGTCCCATCTCCTAGAAGTGACAGTTATGGGAAGCATCAATGGGGGTAGCACTTCCAGATCAAAGCTGGAGAAGCTACCAACTATTGGCTGGCCTACAGTTCAGAGGTTTAGTCCATTGTCATCATGGCGAGAAGCATGGCAGCATGCAGGCAGACGTGGTGCTGGGGAGGAGCTGAGATTTTACATATGGATCCTCAGGGAGCAGGCAGAGAGAGTCCCTGGGCTTGGCTGGAGCTTCTGAAAGCTCAAAGCCCAACCCCAGTGACACACTTCCTCCAATAAGGCCACGCCTCTTAATAGTGCCACTCCCATGAACTTCTGGGGTCTGGTCTCATTCAAACTACCACATTCTGTGCTGCTGTCTGTAGTAACTGGACGAGTTCATCCCCTCCAGCATGGCTGTGGGCTCCTGCTGCTGCTGCTTGTTTTTCTTTAACATTTATTTATTTATTTATTTATTTATTTATTTATTTATTTATTTATTTATTTATTTGTGTGTGTGTGTCTGTGTCTGTTTGTGTGTGAGTGAGTGCTTTATCTGCATGTCAGTATGTACACCATGTGCCACCTGGTTCCTGTGGAAGCCAGAGAGGGTGGTCATGTCTCTCACCTGTCCCTTAAGCTAAGGGATATCTCTTCCTCCAAGGCCCAACCCAAGACCCAGAGGAAGAACTAAAGGAAAGATTGATAAAAGATGTTCTTACTGTCTGGGCTGAAGATAATTCTCCTGGTCTGGCAAAGCATGTGCCCTAGGTAATAGTACAACTGACTTGGAGGGTTTTGCCCATCTGGGTTAAACATTACCCTGTTAGTTCAGAAGCCAGGGAATGGGTCAGTGCCTTCATTAGATGCCTCCCCGAGGTGGGCATCCTCAATTCATGCCATTTGGCCTGGAACACTCCTTTATCACTGGTACAAAAGCCAGGAACCCAAGACTGCAGACCTGCACAGGATTTAAGGACTGAACAAGCGGATAGAAATTATTCACCCAGTTGTCCCTGATCCCTGTACTCTGCCCAGCATGTGACCACAAGCATAGAATTTCAATTCTCTGATGGGTTTAAAAGGTGCATTTCCCAGCCATTCCTCTGTCAAAATGAAGTCACCCCATCCTTGCATTTGAATGGGCCAATCCTGGACTGGGAACACAGGGACAACTGACTTGGACTCGATTGCCTCAGGGAGTCAAGATTTCCTCCACCATCTTTGCATCTTTGATGAGGACCTTAACCAGGACTTAGTCTGTTTTGGCAGTGAGTACCCAAAGTCTACCCTGCTCCAATATATGGATGGCTTATTGGCTGCCAAGGATAAAGAGGCTGTTTAGAGGCTCCTCAAAGACCCCCAAGGACTCTGGCTTGATTAGGCTCCTGGGTCCCCAAAAAGAAAGCTCAGCTTTGCACTTCATAGGTCACCTATTTGGGGTATGAACTGAAATAAGGGAAAAGACTATTGTCCAAGGCCTGCATAGAGACTATAATGAGAATCCCTACCCCAACCACAAAGAAGCAAATCAGAGAATTCTTGGGGGAGGGTCAGATATTGCTGCCTCTGGAGACTTTGCTGAGATTGCTGGACCTGTGTATTCAGCCACTGTGGGAGACAATGTCCCCTTGGAATAGACTGAGGAACATGATCAGGCTTTTAAGAACTTAAAGGAGGGGGGCTGGAGAGATGGCTCACAGGTTAAGAGCACTGGCAGCTCTTCCAGTGGTCCTGAGTTCAATTCCCAGCAACTACATGGTGGCTCAAAGCCATCTGAAATGAGATCTGGCGCCCTCTTCTGGCACACAGACATACATGCAGATAGAACACTGTGTAAATTGTAAATAAGTTAAAATGGAAAAAAAAAAAGACTGTAAAGGAGACTGGTGCAGCCCTGCATGAACTCTCCCTGACATCACCAAGCCCCTCCCTCTTTACGTCCATGAGAGAAAAGACCTTGCTAAGGGAGTCCTGACCCAAACCCTGGGTCCTTGGAAAAGACCAGTAGCCAATATTACAATCAGACACTGGATCCAGGGGCCTCTGGATGGTCTCCTTGCCTGTGGGTCATAGCAGCTACTACAGTTCTTGGGAAAGAATCAGACAAACTTACATTGGGACAAAGTAGAAGATCCTACATGCAGCAGAGTCCTTGCTCAAGGATGAAACTAACTGATGGATGTGACATACTTATTTGACTCAATGCCAAGCTCTCCTTGTAGACAAAGACAGACTGACATAATGATCCTTTGGACATCACCTCTGCCATCCTGCTACTGGATGTCGACCCCGAGGTACCTGTCCATGACTGTCTTGAGATGTTTGGATGTCATCTCAGGACTCATCAGACCTGACAGATGTTCCTCTTAGGAGCAGAGATGTTGTACACCGATGGCATCTGTTTTGTCAAAGAAGGAATCGGGTGTGCGGGGGTCCAGGGGGTGGGGGGAGGTCGTTACAGGCCAACAAGAAGTCACGGGGTACAAGCCCTACCCAGGACAAGTCTGCTCAGAGGGCAGACATAAGAGCACTCAGTCACCAAAATGGGCTGAAGGAGAGAAAATATTTATACAGGTAGCTGATGTGCTTTTGCTACAGCTCATGTCCATGGACAAATATATGAACAAGGGGCCTTTTAACATCAGAAGGAAAAATCATCAAAAATAAACAGGAGATTACTATACCGCTTTTTGAGAGCATCTGGCTACCTGCCTAACTAGCTATTACACAGTGGCCAGGGCACCAAGAAGACCCAGCCCACAGACCCAAGGCAATAGCTATGCAGATCAGGTTGCCAGGGATGAGGCTCTAGGGGAACCCAGACTCTCCTTGAATTGTTGGCCACCCCCAAGTCCCTACACCACCTTGATTTGGATGTTCCCAAATGTAACTCATTGGAGATTGTCATATTCTAGCCTGGGAGTCCGGGGAAAACAACCATGGTCAGTGGGTCCTACCGGATGGATGGATTTGCATGCCAAAGTCACTGGACAGGAACTGGCTAATTTCCCTACATCACTCCATGCATTTGTCACCTAAAAAGATCTCAGGACTTACCTCCCCTCAGGTCTGGCTACCTATACACTGAGAAATCCTCCATAATATTTCGGATTGCTGCTTGGCTTGCACCCAGGTAAATATTAGAAAGGACATGCTGCCTCCAGGTCAGTGAAGCCAAGGTACTGTGCCTGGTGAGTTTTGGGAATCTGACTTCACTGAAGGCAAACCAGGACTACATGGATAGAAATATCTGCTGGGCTTTGCTGAGACTGTCTCAGGATGAGTACAGGCTTTTGCTTCTAGAACAAAACGGCCCAAGTAGTAGCTAAAGGACTCATAATGGGAATCATTACCAGGTTAGGCTTCCCTTTGTCTCTAGGGTCAATGGCCGGACCTTTATGGCCAAATTATCTCCATTACTTTCAAAGACTCTTCACATGAACTGGAAATTACATTGTAACATCCTCAAAGTTCAGGATGGACAGAAGGACGAATAGAACTATAAAAGATATTAACTGAATACACTGGAGACTGGTGGTAACTAGGTTGATCTCTTGCCTTATGTCCTCCTGAGACCCCCTTGTTCTCCACACTGAGAAAAGTCCACCCCATAGGAGAGAGTCTTTGGGCAACCACCTCCTGTCATCCCTTGGGTACCTGGGGGAGGGGGTGTTGTCAGATGGTCTCACTCCAATCTCTGGATCCTTAGAAGGATTACAGTTCACTTTGGAGAAGATCTTTCCTCAGGTCCAGTCTGCTCAGCTTGTTGGGTACCGTCTACCTGACCACTCATTCCAGCCTGGTGATGCTGTGTTAATCTGCTGCTTCAAAACTGACCAGGGGGTAGGGCTGGAGAGATGGCTCAGAGGTTAAGTGCACTGGCTGCTCTCCCAGAGGTCCTGAGTTCAACGTTCATCAACCACATGGTGGCTCACAACCATCCATAATAATTTCTGGTGCCCTCTTCTGGTGTGCAGGCATACATGCAGGCAGAACACTATATGAAATATATAAATAAATAAATAAATAAATAAATAAATAAATAAATAAATAAATAAATAATTCTCAAACCAAACCAAACCAATCAACAACAATAACAAAACTGACCAGCTAGAACCCAGATGGAAAGGACCTTACACCATGATTCTCTGGATTCCCAGCGTTCCTGGATTTATCACTCAGACCTCAAGAAGGCACCCGAAGACCCCATAGAGGGAGAAATGGGGCACCAGGAATGGACAGTGACCAACTGTGGCCCTCTTGAGATTAAGATCTCCAGGCTTAATGATTTGTTACTGATCTGTTCTTGTTTTCTTTTATTGCTGTATCTGCCGTCACGATGTTCTAACCTGTTGGATTACATTCATGCCCTTAACTAGCTCTAGCTACCATACTTCCCACCTGCAACCGAGAACTTAGACTAACAACAACAGGAAACATTTTGGCTTCAGTCAGGACCCAGGATCAACACAGGCTGAGCACTGACCTTTGCAATTTATTCAACTTGGGTTGTACTGTTGGTGCTTGGCCTGGTTACAGGTTTGGGATCAATCAAGTTCATGGTTCATGCCCAAGAAAAGAACATGCAGGTATGGGGTTGTAGCCATCTTAGTCAAGAAAGAAGCTTACAAGACACCCAGATTAATGCCTGTCCAGCTCATGGGGCTTTCTCTTGTGCTGAAAATAGTGAACATGAATACTATTGTGCTTCTTGAGCTGTGTAACTACAGGCCCCTGAGAGAAATCCAAATTCGATCTTATTACTATAACCTGAAACCCTGCTGAGATCAGTCCCAACTGTGAGCAAGGGTTGGTCATGCAATCAATCCTTATGCTCAAAATGTGGAACCCATATGATTCTCCATAGAATGCCAGATGAACCTGGGGACTTAGTTTATACCCTCTGGACATGATCCCAGTACCCTTATTACAATTCAAAGAAAATGTGTTCAACCATAAATACCAAAACCTATAGGCCCCAATAAAAATCTAATCCTGGTGCCCCAGATTTCCCCATCACAACCAGGTCCTGTCACAGCACGCCTACAACCTACCGCAACATGCACATAGGCTGAGGACTTGCCCACTATTGTCAGGCCTATTTCAGCTTCTACCAAACCACCCTCATCTCACCCACCTCCTCCACACACACTTCCATACACCTTGCCCCCATTCAAAACTCAAAGGCCTCCAATACCTACACCCACTCTCCCAACAGAGGCTCCCTCCTGACTGTGCTCTCAGCAGCCCTT